ACTTATATTTATATATATATATATATATATATATATATATATAGAATATATGTAAAAATTGTTTTTTTTTTTTTTTTCAAAATTTCATTATTTTTGCCGTTACTTAGTATAAGATTCGGAAAAAATATGGCGGTCGCGAATGTGTTAAAAAATAAAAATAACAAAAAATAAAAAATCTTTATCAATAATAATTTTAATAAATAAATGAATTGATAGACATTTTGAAATAAGAAAACTCTTAATTATTTACAAAAATCATCATCAAATGTTACATGAAGTAGAAATTTTCTATGAAAATGGCGTCAAAATCAGTCAAAATGACTAGTCTGATATATCTAGCGTTAATATTACCCGTATAAAATATGCTTCATTGGTTTGTCCTTAATTATAAGTCATAGAAAAATTAGAAAAAACTTATCGATAAAAAAGAAAAAAAAAAAAATAGAAAAAGAAAAAGAAAAAAAGAAATAATACTAAGGTAAATCATTGCGAGAGGAGAGAAGAGAGGTAATGTCGTAGGTACGAGGACGCGTAAAAACAATCGAAGGATGTCGTACCCCATAAATATGTAGAAGAGGAGAAGCTTTGAACCGGCCACTGTATGCAAATTTAGTTTGCTGCTGCTGCTGCTGCTGCAGTTGCTGCTGCAGTTGCTGCCGTTCGTTGATTTCTCTTCTTGCTGCTGTTGCTCTTGCTGTTGCATTTATATCTATCTTTCTCTTTCTGCTCTTTCTATTTTGCATACGATCACCCGGTAGATTCCGTGTCACGAGAATAATAATAATAATAATAATAAGAATAAAAATAACATCAAATAAAATAAATAGGAAAAGGGTTGTTCAGGAGTTGTGGAGAGGGGGTTTTAGGCAAGATTTTTTCTATGCTTTTTTTTTTGAAAGTGAAAATTTCTTTAGAATTGAAGTGATTTGAAAAAAACGAAGGTTGTTCAGGAGTTGTGGAGAGGGGGTTTTGGACAAGATTTTTTCTATGGTTTTTTTTTTTGAAAGTGAAAATTTCTGTAGAATTGGGGTAATTTAAAAAAAAAAACGAATTATTTTTCATTATTTTATTTTACAGATATGTCAACAAGATGAATTAAAGTATTTTGTAAGAAATGTGAAAAATATTTTTGTTTTTTTTTATTTCTTTTTATTTCTTTTTATTTTTTATTATGTTTATATTATGAAGATAAATGTGCCCATAATTATGGAAGTAGTCCGTCTAAGTCATGTATCTCTTGTTTCGAGATATTTCAAGATTTTTATTTGAACACTATATGAATTCTATGTAATATTGAAAAAAAAAAAAAAAACAAACATTACAATATCGTTTTCATTCAATTACATTGAATTTATTTAGTTTAAAATAATGTGGTGCCTAATAACTAATAAACTCATTTTTTTTTTTTTGTCATTTTGACTTACATTAGACCACTTTCATAATTATGGGCACAAATAGGATACGATAATATAAAGTAAAATACGAAGTATTAATAGTATTCTTTTTATAGGTTATGTTCGTTAATTAATGATGATTAAAACTATGATTTATAAGATTCGATATATAAAAAAGAAAAAGAACAAAAAAAATAAGTATAGTTAACGTCGATCGCAATAACATGTTTTTGAATATGATCGACGGTCTGACTGACCCACTTTTTTTGTTTTCTTTTTATTTTTTTATTTTTTTTTTTTTTTGTTATCTTTGTCAAGCTGTGAAAAAGTCATTAATTATCGTCGAAATGAAATACAAGAAATAAAAAAAAAGAAATAAGAATTTTAGTAAAAATATTGGAGTACAATAAAAAAATAATTTTTTTTTTTTAATTTTTAAATACTACGCATAATTTAACATGTCATTAAGTATAGTAATCAAAGTCATGATAATGTGATGCAAAACTTGGTTACGTAATCAATGATAGATAGATAGATAGATAGATAGATAGATAGATAGATAGATAGATAGATATAAGAACTACTTAAATATTCGATTATTAGTTATACCCACATTTAGAATAATAAATAAAAAAATATTATAAATATAATATGACAAAATATTATGGAAATAAAATGATATCGTTTTAGTATCAATAACCATCAACAAATAGCTGCTATAGATAGATATATAGATATAAGAACTGCTTAAATATTGGATTATTAGTTATATCCACACTTAAAATAATAAATACACAAAATATTATTAATATAAATATAAATATAATATATCAAAATATTATTGAAATAAAATGATATCGTTTTAGTATCAATAACCACCAACAAATAGCTGCTATAGATAGATATATAGATATAAGAACTGCTTAAATATTGGATTATTAGTTATAGCCACACTTAAAATAATAAATACACAAAATATTATAAATATAAATGTAAATATAATATATCAAAATATTATAGAAATAAAATGATATCGTTTTAGTATCAACAACCATCAACAGCTACTGTATATAGATAGATAAATATAAGAACTATTTAAATAGTCGATTATTAGTTATACCCACATTTAGAATAATAAATAAAAAATATTATAAATATAAATATATATATGTGTCCATAATTATGAAAGTAGTCTAAGTCAAAATTAATAAAAAATGAGTTTATCAGTTATTACCCACTACATTATTATAAACTAAATAAATTCAATGTAATTTGAAAACGATATTGTCAAAAATGAATGAATCGTTAGATAATGTTTGTTTGTTTGTTTTTTCAATATTACATAGAATTCATATAGTGTTAAAGTATAAATCTTGAAATATCTCGAAACAAGATTTACATGACTTAGATCACTTTTATAATTATGGGCACAAATATAATATGTTAAAATATTATTGGAAATAAAATGATATCGTTTTAGTATCAACAACAACCATCAACCAACAGCTGTTGCTAACTCGTTTGCTTGCTTGCTGTTATATTTCCTCTATAAATACTTCAACTATAAAATTAAAAAAAAAAAAACAATAAAATAAAAGAGAGGAAATGAATATGGTGATTTGTTTGAACCCCACGACGACGGATTTAAAAAGGTTACGCGATTTCCGTTCGAAAATAAATATAATACGATTTCCATTTTGATTGTTTTTAATTAAATCAAATATAAATAAATAAATATATTTAAATGAGATATTTACAATAAGGGAAATAATAAATAACATTCTCCAAGATTATTCTAATTTTATTCTCCCTTTTGCAATTTATATGATTATTGTTTTTTCTTTTTTTTTTTTTTTCATTTTTATTCTACAATACCATCTGCTTCTTACTTGCATTTTTATACAAGGTGTACGAAAAATTTGTCACGTCAAATTGATAAGATATTATTTTATTTTATTTTATTTTATTTTATTTTATTTTATTTTATTAAAGTGAAAACTTCTTTAGAATGGGAGTGATCTGAAAAGTAAATAAACGGAAACGGAGCTATGTAACGGAGCTATGTAACGAAGCTATGAAACGGCTGCCATACAACATAATGGGAGAAAAAGAGACAAACATAGGATTTAGACTGCGAGGGAATGAGACGGAATATAGCTATACGGACTTATCGGAAAGACCCTACGGACTTATCGGAAAGACCCTACGGAATTATCGGAAA